GGACTGAAAGGAACGTTCGTGGTAGGAAAACATTCTAATTTGTTGGCCTACCGCATTGCAGGAGAATCTTCTTACTCTGTTTAACATTAGAATTCTGCTAATGTTGCTGTAGTATTATTTGTGTAATAAAATCTTTTCTCCCTGTGGCATTGAATGTCTATTTATGGACACTTACCATTCATGATAGGTTCTAGGTCTGGTTATTCTGGATTAAAGGTTTAGGACAATCTTATCATCATCTCTTTGCCCAAGAGAAAAATTAACATTTAATTTTTAAAGTGGTGTCTTTCTTTTTACAAAATGTTACATTAAAAATGTTTACTTTATTCCCTATTATGAAGGTAGTCTGTACTTCTAGTATATTTTAAAAATTGAGGGAAAAAACTTGGAAAATCATCCATAATCATGCATTGTGGTATTTCTTTCAGGTTTTTAATCAATGTCTTAAAAAAAAAACACTCCTTATTAAAGAAAAATTCAAATACAGAGAAAAGGAGAGAGAATAGTACATGGACCCTCTGGTACTTGTCACCCAGCTTCAGCAATCATAAACTCATAGCCAACCTTGTTTTATCTCTGTGCTCTTCCCACCTCCCTCTCTTAACATTCAGATATTTTAAGCAGTTCCCAGGCATGTAATTTAATCAGTTTTTCAGTATTTAAAAAAAAATCATTTTCACTTCAAAAAGATTAATTATTAATATTACTGAATAGCCAATTAATGTTTAGATTTCCCTGTCTCATTTAAAAATTGTTTTAGATAGTTGGTTCAAATCATGATGCAGACATTGCATTGATTGATATCACTTTTTAAAAATGTTTTATTTTGAAATAATTTTAGACCTAGAGGAAAGATTTGAAATAGTGACAGTTCTTACACGTCCTTTGTCCCGCTTCCCCAGTGTTAACGTTTCACCGAACTAGAACACTCGTCAGAACCCGGAAACTAACACTGATACAATACTGCAATCTGTAGACTGTATTTGAATTTTTCCAGTTCTCCCATTAATGCCCCTTTTCTGGTCCAGCATCCACGTTGCCTTTAACTGTCATGTCTCCTTAGTCTTGTCTAATCTGGGACAGTTGCTCAGTCTTTGTCCTCTGTGACCTTGACTCCTTTGAAGCGTACTGGTCAGTTAGTTTGTTACTGCCCCGCAATTTGGGCTCGTCTGATGCTTCTCTCATGATTAGATTGAGGTTATCCATTTTTGACAAGAATAGCAAAGACGGGATATGTCATATCCGGGGGTGCATAATCTCAATCTGTGTTATTTCTGCTGAGATTTCCATTGGTCATTTGGTTAAAGGGGGTTCTCCAGGGTTTCTCCACAATAAAGTTACTATTTTTCAATTTGAGATTTAAAGAATTTTGGGGGGAGGTACTCTGAGGCTATGTAAATATCTTGTTTCTCGTCATACTTTCAAGAATCTTATTGATAATTCTTACCCTCAACAGCTAGTGCTGTGGGGTTTGCTTTGTGGTGATTTTCTTTTCCCATCGTTCCTTCTACACTTACTAGTTGTAATTCTACTGTAGGGAAGGACTGGTCCTTTCCCTGCAGTTATTATTGTTTGTTTATATCAGTACAGACTCATGGATATTCGTTTATTCTGCAGGTTGTTAAGCCGTCACTATCATGATTTATTTCTTTGTTCATATTGTCCCAGATTTGGCCATTGGGAGCTCCTTCAAATTGATTCCTGTGTCTTTTCAACAGTTCTTGAGCACTTCCTACTTGTTAGGGTCACAAGATATCCTCGATGTATCTTGTGTTTTCCCGAACCCAGTCCTGGAATCAATCATTTCTCGTGGGATTCCTGGTTTCTTTCTTTGGAGAATGCTATTTAGAAACCAAGATCTGAATGACAGGTGTCCTTGTTACCACTGGGGTGTCAGTCCTTCTAGGCTGTGGCAGTAGACAGGGCTTGAAGATCCATGTTTGCATACTGACACATGCATATACACATATATATTTATTTCTATGTCAACTCTGTGTATAAGTGAGTGAGTGAGTCTGTGAGTGTGTGAGTGTGTGAGTATGTGTGTTAAGAAAGTTAGGGAAGGCTGGAATGAACTCTGTAGAATCAGTATGAATCTGTAATTAGGGAGCACTAACGTTCCCTAACTTTCTTTATTATTATTTAATCTACAGGTTTTTCCCTCCTTTTTTTTCTTTGTAATTTATTTATTGAATAAGATGGGTCATTTGTGCTTTGTAGTTTTCCACCTTTTGAATTGTGCTTATTAAATTTTTTGTAACGTCATTCAACTTGTTTCTCTGCTGACTTTATTTCTAGTAAATTGGTAGTTAATCAAGGTGCATGATCAAATTCAGATTTTTTTGGCAAGATTCCATCATAGGTGGTCATTTGTACTTGCAGCAGGAGGTATATAGTATATGATGGTCCCTGTTTTTGTGATGTTACTAGCCATTGATGATTGTTTAATTAGTGATAATTTAATTTCATTATTCCTTCTTTTATAGCTGTGTATTTCTATGAAGAAAAACCTATTTTTCATCATCTATTTAGTTACCCTGAGGGGTAGTTCATACAAAAAAGACAAGATAAGAATCCCCTAGAATCTTCCAAAGATGACTGTGTAGGTTTCCTATCGCTGCTCTAACAGATCACCGCAAACTCGGCTGCTTAACAACACACGCTTGTAGTTCTGGAAGTTAGAGTCTGAAATGGGTCTTACTGTGGCAGGGCTGTATTCCTTTTGAAGGCTTTAGGGGAAAATGCATTTCCTTGCTTTTTCCAAGCTTCTAGAAGCTGTTTGCATTTCTAGACCCGTGACCCACATTCATCATCAAAGCCAGCAGTGGCTGGTGGGGTCTTTTCCGTGCTTGTCTCTTCAACTTTTAAGAATCTCTGTGATTATACTGGGCCCAACTGGATAATCTCTATTTTAAGGTCAGCTGATTAGCAACCTCAATTCCATCTGCAGCCTTCATTACCCTTTGCCATGCAGTTCAGCATAGTCACAGCTGCTGGGGATTAGGATGTGAATGTCTGGGGGGGGGCATTATTCTGCCTATCACCGTGACTAAAGGATTTTTAAAAAACCATTATGAACTCATAGATTTTTAACATTTTTCATTTTAATTTATCGTTATTGTCCTTGGTGTTCTAACTGTCCTATGTTTGGACTGTGAAAGAGCTTATTCAAGTTGATTCTTGAGTTCTTTGGACATGAACGTGGAGTCTCTGATAGCTTCCTTCCTTCCTTTCTGACCTGAACAGTTGTCTGGGCTCATATAGTACGTTCCTGCCCCGGGTCTGGGGTCATCCCTTTCTATAAGGCAAACTTCAGTGTGTGTCAGAATCCCCTGCGCAGCTTTTTAAAACACAGGTTGATAGGCCCTACCTCCCTCCAGAGTTTCTGATTTAATAGGTCTGGGGTGGGGTCCAGTAATTTGTATTTTCAATTCCTAGGTAATGCTGATCGTGCTGTTCTGGGGACTACGCTGTTTTAAAGAACTCTGTATTTTGTGTGTGTTTTTGGTGGGTTTTTTTTATAAGGTGAGAAAGGGTATTTAGAGACTAGAGCCTGCATGCGAGGAAGGATACTGATTCTAGGCTTTTTCAATGAGAAGAAAGAAATAACGGAAAATGTAAGTTCATACTGATATTTCCAATTCAGATTTAGAATTACAGGCTTTAACTTTTATTTTATATTTGTATTTGTTTTCTCTGAGGCTTGGTTCTTATGATAGTAAAAATTACTTATTTAGTAAATATATGTATTATTTATACAGATGTAGTTTCAGAATAACAATACAAATATTATGTCCTGCAACACGATTACTGAAAACAGTTTAAGATCTTTGCAGCGGTCCCTTTGTCCTTGGAGAAATATCCCACCAGGGGTCTTCAAGTTCCTCGCTTTTACGTTAATGAAATCAGTCCTCTCTGGTTAACCAATCAACTTGATATGCAGTTAACTTCTTTTCCTGTTTCTTTGTTCTGCTTTCAGTTTTAGTTATTTGATTACTGAAATAGTTATCTAACCATTTAAATGGTTTCACCGTCACGTCTGTAAAATGAGGCTTCTCTGTCCTCTGTCTTGTTCTCCCCTTTTCATTATGGGCAACCATCTAATTTATTTTATGGTGAAATAAATGGCAGTTTGCTAGACAGACTTTTTTTTCTCTTGGAGCGCACGCCACCCTCCACCCCGCACCCCGACATGAGCAACATATTCTGAACGTGTTCTGATGCCTTGAGGGTGCTGTGTTTATAGAGGCGTCAGTCCTCCTTTACAGCTTAGAGCGCGCCACTGTGAGAATGTCCCACAGTGTACTCCTCTGTTGGTGGGCAGCTGGGTTGTTTCCAGCCTTTTGCTGTTGGGAATAGTGCTTCCGTATTACAAATAGTACATATTTTGAGGTAGTTAAAAACCACGCTGCATACTGTTTGTTGTCTGTTTTTTTTTCTTAACATTGTAACATGAGCATTTCCCGTGTTACTGTAAATATTGTTACTTAAGACAGTTTTTTTTCTGATTAGGAAAATAATGCAGACTGACTTAGAGATTTTAGAAACTCAGAAAAATAAAAAAATAAAAATCACCCGTGATCCTTTGACTTAAGGGATACTGTTATTATTTTGATGTGTTACCTCACAGCCTTAACAATATTTTGTATAAACACTTAGAAAACAGTCAGCTTCATATTACATAGTATCCTGCTTTGTTTTTTACTCATAATCGTGATTTTTTAATACCATACTCTTTTTATAATTTCCTATTTGATACTTAGTTTCTTTCTGGGTTTTCAGTATCATAAATAATTTTGTGATAAATATCTGTGCCTAAAACTTTTCCCAAGTTTCAAATTATTCTTGAAGGTGGTTTTCACGAGAAGCAAGGTCACGTTTGTTACATGTATCTATTTAGCTAGCTCTCTTAAAGCAGTAAGATAAACAGGTGGAAGATTGTTACCTTGAAATTTTTGTTTAGTAAAGTCCATTTCTTCTTTTTCTTTCTGTCCTGGTAGGACCTTAGAAATGAAGTTGAGAAATTACGCAACGAAGTGAATGAAAGAGAGAAAGCAGTAGAGAATCGTTACAAGAGTCTTTTGAGTGAAAGTAATAAAAAATTGCACAGTCAAGAGCAAGTGATCAGAAGTCTGACAGAGAGTGCTCATCAGAAGGACTTGTTGCTTCAGGTACCATCATTTGTTTCTCTTTCGTGTTTAAGTCTTTGGACTTCGGCATAGGGTTTTTTTGTTTTAAACACTTTTGCAGGAATGTTTATATAAAAATAAGGCTGGCAAAATAGATTGTAGTCTTCACTGCTATATATCAGAGCACTTTAGAGCTTTCATTATGTCATTTGAACCTCAGCCACCAGGGAGTTAGGTTTGGAGGAATGGAAGCCCTGGGAAGGGGAGGGACTTATCCTGGGTCACGTGACTAGTCCAGGCCCCGCCCTGCTTTGCTCCAGCGCCGGCCTCCTGCTGCTGCAGTACTGGCTGCTCCCTCTTTGGGCCTTACCCCCTCAGTTCTCTGTACTTTTAACTAGTCCTTATCATCTTGGAATACCCTGCACATTTGATGGTGCAGTGAATTTTTGATTCAGAGCTACATGTAACCATGATGGAGTGAACATGGGTGTTTAACTCTGCTTCCTCTGAGGCCTCATTAACATGGCAGTGAAGGGGTAAGCGGTATAAACTCATGGACCAGAAGAAGGAGAATGGCGAACAGCAGGTGCCATTTGGATGGTCGGTGGGTGGGTAAGTGGTAACTACACAAGATTCAGCTTTCTCCCCTCTGGTCTGCACCTTTGGGATGAAAAGCCAACGAGAAGCAAGCTGATTAATCCTTCAGAACCAGAGAGGCTCAGCAGGCAGTAGGGGTACCAGGAGGCAGGCAGGAGGTGTGGCTGGAACATTGGGCAGTTAGGTGGCCTTGTTCTCCTCACCAGCAGGAGATGGGAGGTTGACTCTGTGGGGACCTTAAACCTGAGAAGCTCTAACCTGGGGTTCACTAGGTGCAGCTGAAAACAGGCGTGGCTCTGTTGATGAGAAGGAGTTGGAGTGGGCGTCCCAGCATTGCGGGTCTTCTGTGGGGAGAGAGGACTGAGAGATGCTGACAGTCAGGGGTCCTCCAACCCCTGCTGAGTCTCCCATCTCATCATCTCACAGCAAGGTCACCACTGATGTGCCCTTTCCAGACTCACAGAGCTTCCGGGCACTTCCACCCTTAAAGAGAGGTGGGCGCCTGAGTTCCTCAAACAGGAGAAAAGCATCTAAGAGGAAAGACAGACAGACAGAACCAAGCCTCACAGAGGAAACAGAAACCGGGGAGGATGAGAAAAAAACTAGACAACTTTTCAAAAACTCAACATTATAATGTCTTTATATAAGAAATAAGATTGGGATCTGATAATATTTGGAAAAGAAGAATGACCTTTGGAAATGGAAAGTTTGATCACAGATATAAAAAGCTTAATTAAAAAATTAGAAGAGTTGGAAGAGAAAGTCAACTGTATCTTCCAGAAAATAGAATTAAACAAAGAAACAAACAAAAAGATGAGAAAATAAAAGAGAAAAGACAAAGAAAATTAGAGGCTTGATTCAAGAGCTCCATGGTGTGACTAACAGAAGTTCAGAAAGATTGAAAAGGCAAAGCAGAGGGAAGGAAAAGTTCAAAGTCCTAGGAGAAAGCTTTTCAGAGTGTAAGGACAGGTGTCTCGGCATTGACAGGGCCTACTCTGTTTCTCACACAGGAAATGAAAAAAGACCTCTATCCTGAGACACATTGTTGTGAAATTTGAGAACATGGGTTAAGAGAGGATCCTAGTGATACTAGCCACTAAATATAAAAATAGATTTTATAAAAATAAAAATAAAAAATAAAATATAAGTTGTAAAAACCAAAAAACCCCCCCCCAAAACCCCAAGAAGAAACCCCCCCCAAACAACAGAGGATCTTAAAGGCTTCCAGAAAGAGGAAAACAGTAGGTCACGTACAAAGGCCCCAGACTCGAAGTGATGGCAGGATTCTCAGCAGCAACACTGGAAGCCAGAAGCCAGGAGAGCAGCGCTTTCAGAATTTGGAGGTAAAGTGATTTCTAGTCCAGCATTGTGTAGTCAGCCAAGCTGGCAGCAAGAGTGAGGGCGGAGTAAAGGCGCTTTCAGACGTTCGGTGCCTAAAATCATCTGCCTCGGTGTACTCTTGGTGGGAAACTCCTGGAGGACGATTCCAGACAAATGAGGACGTAACCAAAAATGGGAGAGACAGGGGGTCCAGAGAGTAGGGAATTCACCTGGGACGCGGTGAAGGGAGGTCCCAGGCTGACAGCTGAGCCACTGAGGTGGAAGCCTGGATTCCAGCTGTGCAAGGGGTACTTCGCTGGGATTTCTTCAAGAGACGGAAGAATCCATCATTTACCTATTGTGTCTTGATACCACCTAGGAGGATTCATAAGTTCTTTTAGAGAGTTGGGAGAT